ACGGGCACGTCAGGATGTAGCCCAGGTGCTCCGTCCACATGAACGGGTGCCCGGCCTGCTTGAAGATCTCCTCGATCTGGGGACAGGATGGGGACAATGAGGGGACAATGAGGGGACACAGCTGGTGGCACCTGGGGCCAGCGAGGACACACCCAGGGCACACCTGGGGCGCTCAGGGTTGTTGGTGTCACCTCAAGCGTCACCTCGATGTCCCCAGATGTTTCCAAATCCTCAGTGTCCCAGATGTCCCCAAAATGTCCCCAAAATGTCCCCTGACCTTCTCGAGGCCGACACCTCCTTCACGTTCCCTCACTTCTCCATGGAGATGTGACCCCAAATCCCTCCATGTCCCCAGATCCTCAGTGTCCCCAAAATCCCTCCGTGTCCCCAAATCCTCCGTGTCCCCGATGTCCCCAAATGTCCCCAGATGTCCCCAGGTGTCCCCAGGTGTCTCCCGACCTTCTCGAGGCCGACACCTCCTTCACGTTCCTTCACTTCTCCATGGAGATGTGACCCCAAATCCCACCGTGTCCCCAAATCCTCAGTGTCCCCAAAATCCCTCCGTGTCCCCAAATCTTCCAATGTCCCAGGTGTCCCCAAATGTCTCCAGATGTCCCCAAGTGTCCCCAGGTGTCTCCCGACCTTCTCGAGGCCGACACCTCCTTCACGTTCCCTCACTTCTCCATGGAGATGTGACCCCAAATCCCACCACGTCCCCAGATCCTCAGTGTCCCCAAAATCCCTCTGTGTCCCCAAATCCTCAGTGTCCCCAATGTCCCCAAATGTCCCCAAATGTCCCCAGATGTTCCCAGGTGTCCCCAGGTGTCTCCCGACCTTCTCGAGGCCGACACCTCCTTCACGTTCCCTCACTTCTCCATGGAGATGTGACCCCAAATCCCACCATGTCCCCAAATCCTCCGTGTCCCAGATGTCCCCAAATGTCTCCAGATGTCCCCAGGTGTCCCCAGGTGTCTCCTGACCTTCTCGAGGCTGACACCTCCTTCATGTTCCCTCACTTCTCCATGGAGATGTGACCCCAAATCCCACCATGTCCCCAAATCCTCCGTGTCCCAAATGTCCCCAGGTGTCCCCAGGTGTCCCCAGATGTCCCCAAAATGTCCCCGACCTTCTTGAGGCCGACGCAGAAGCGCCGGAACACCTCCTTCATGTTGCCGCCCTTCTCCATGGAGATGACGCGCAGGTGATCCTCCTCGTTCACCCACACCAGGAACGTTTTGTTGTCGTTGTGCCTGGGGACACCCCGGGGGGACACCTCAGCACCCGCCAGGTGTGCCCAGGTGTGCCCAGGGAACCGCCAGGTGTGCCCAGGAACCCACCAGGTGTGCCCAGATGTGCCCAGAAACCCACCAGGTGTGCCCAGGTGTGCCCAGGAACCCACCAGGAGTTCCCAGGTGAGCCCAGGTGTGCCCAGGTGTGCCCAGGAACCCACCAGGTGTGCCCAGGAACCCACCAGGAGTGCCCAGGTGAGCCCAGGTGTGCCCAGACGTGCCCAGGAACCCACCAGGTGTGCCCAGGTGAGCCCAGGTGTGCCCAGACGTGCCCAGGAACCCACCAGGAGTGCCCAGGTGTGCCCAGGTGTGCCCAGGAACCCACCAGGAGTTCCCAGGTGAGCCCAGGTGTGCCCAGGTGTGCCCAGGAACCCCCCAGGTGTGCCCAGGTGTGCCCAGAAACCCACCAGGTGTGCCCAGGAACCCACCAGGAGTGCCCAGGTGAGCCCAGGTGTGCCCAGGTGTGCCCAGGAACCTGCCAGGTGTGCCCAGGAACCCACCAGGTGTGCCCAGGTGTGCCCAGGAACCTGCCAGGTGTGCCCAGGAACCCACCAGGTACCAGCCAGGTGACCTCAGGAACGCCCCAGGTGTGCCCAGGTGCCCCCCAGCTACCCCAAGGTATTTCCAGGAGCACCCCGGGTGCCACCCAGGTGCCCAAAGCTTCCCCCAAACCACCCCCAGGTGCCCCCAGGTGCCCCCAGGTGCCCCCAGGTGCCCCCCAGGTGCCCCAGGTGCCCCCAGGTGCCCACCAGATGCTCCCAGATGCCCCCAGGTGCCCAAA